GCTAAAAAACCAGCCATTGCAACTACATTTTACAATGTAGGGTGTGACTGGTAGGGTTAGAAGAATAATTAAAAAAGGAGATGAAAAAACACTGTTAGAAAAAAAATATTTATACTTCAGTTTTGTAGAGAAAAATTTCTCTCCCTTTTAATTGTTTTCTGTGTACTCAGAAGAAACTAGTAAATATATATTTCTACTTGATTGGTAGAAGTTTAGAATATTTTTATTTTCCTTTCTTCTAAGAAGACATTTCATCTAGACCCGTAGTTATTTTTAATCAAAAAAAAAACAGCCACTGTACGTTATGGGGCAGAGTATAACGAAACCTTGGGCAACGAGGCAGGCGAAGATACCAAGTTAGTGTCGATACCTTGAGAAAACTAGCTTGGAGAAAAGTGTAGTTTTCAAAATTTAATCCCATTTCAAGGTATTTTTCCCAAAACTCATCCGAATATTCTAAACTTTTGTTTCGTTGCTTTCTGAGTTTAATAATTAATGACAACATATTTCCATCATTTCCTTACTTTTGTAAGGATAAATAAATTAAACTTTTATGGCCATAACTCACTCAGAAATTCGATTATTCGATTACGAAATACTGTAATCTCAAATTTTCATCTACTACAGTTTTTCTCGCACCAATAAACAACCTTCGACAGTTTTTTTTTTTGTCACAACTATGATATTTTATTAAGTCGAAAACATTGACAAAGCGAGAGAATCAAACGCTCTCTTAGCTAACGAATCCGCCAACATGTTGGCTTCTCGTGAAACAAATAAAAAATTTAACAAACGAAAATGTGTAGCTAAAATTCTAATCTCAAGAAGAAGGTTGTAGATCTCTGTATGCGTTTCCTTGGAGTTGAGTAGGTTAATTAAAACCAGTGAGTCGGAGCACACTCTCAATGAGTCCAAACCTCGTTCTCGAGCTGCTTGAAGGGCCTTAATCATCGCCCATGCTTCCGCAGCAAGTACCGATGCAACCCTTGGTAGGGCAAGGGAGAACTCCTCTTTGTCTAATCCATTCGGGTGTGAAATCCACCATCCTATTCCGCATCTCTCCTCATCCTTCTTCCAGGCCGCATCCGTAAACACAATAGTGCCAAGCAGCTGGTTCGAATTAGACTGAGGTTGTAAGCTACTTCCCCTTCTCTTCGGTAGTGCCTCTTGGGCAAATTGCCAAGCTTTGGCCTCTCGGATTGACTTATTCACAATGTCGATCGAATCGAACGTTTTATTTTCGAAAATAGATTGGTTCCGATCTATCCATAAGCTCCAGCAAACCCAGGATATTAAAGATGCATCATGAATACCTACCGGTGGTAGAACCGGCGTCTTCACCGTCGCCTCAAGGAACTCCAACATAGTCCATCTGCGGTTCCAACTGATATGGTTCAAAGGAGCTAGCGCCCATACTTCTCGAGCCTTAGGACAGTGAAGGAGGATATGCTCCACTGATTCAACTTCACCACAGCGATGGCAAGCAAGTGTCACTCCAATGCCTCTCCGATGTACTTGTTCACCTACTGGTAGTGGTTTGACCCCTGCTTTCCAAAGAAATGTCTTAATTTTTGGTTGAATCCTAAGCTTCCAGACATTCTTCTGCCAGTTGAAGTTGCATTCCGATACAAGAGCAACATCTCTTGCCTTAGTTCCATAGCCGCTACGGGTTGTATACTTCCCGTTCTTAATGTATAGCCAAGCCAAACTATCACTATGATTAGTGAAACCCAGCACTAGAAGCCGGATTTGGGG